TGCTGCCTTGACTCCGATGACTGGGCACTGCCCACACTTCTTTTGTGCTGCCTTCTTTGAACACTAAGGTGCCCACTCTCTCCCAAGACTAATGAAATCATCTGGGCTTGAAAATAAGCAAACCAGACGTTGTGCTTGTGTGGCCCTCTCCTAGCAGGATGAATGGCCTCTGTCCCTCAACACATGTTCACCTTTGGCCACAGGGAGGACACAGGCGTCTGAGCTAATGAGTGCATCCCTCTTTGGTGAGTAGGCATCCCTGGGCATGGAGACAGGCTGGGCAAGTCTGCTGCTGAGGTTTCTCTTTTGTAAACTTGAGCCATCCGGGACTGCCTCGCCTTTTGTAAAACTCCAGGGTATGAAACAGTTTCTCCAGAAGCACCTGTTGACAGTTTAAGGTCCCGTATTGGTTATCTGCTGCTGTGTAACAAACTTCTCAGAGTTTAGCAGCTTTAACCAGCAAATACTTACTACCTCATGGTTTGCATGGATTAGCCTTGTTCTATTTGCAAAGTCTGTTATGAGGTGAAATCAAGGTGTCAGCTGAGACTTGGTGGTGGAGGATTCATTGCTGCCCAGGTTGCTGGGTGCAGGTAGCAGGCCCAGGACCTTGTGCCTGTGGCTGGATCTGTCAGTTCCATATGAGGGGGTTGTTTTCACAGGCACCTCACAAGATGGTGGCTGGGGAGGCCATCCCAGCCAGGAGCCACCTGATCTTATAATTTATCTCAGAGTAACAGTGCTTCAATTCTTCTAGATATACTTTATTAGAGGCAAGTCCGTGCATCCAGTGCAGACTTAGCAGGTAGAGATTACACAAGAAGATGAGAACGGGGAGGCAGGGGCCATGCGGTGCCTGAGGTGGCCTACTGGTGATGAAAGAATGACACGTTGGAATTAGGTTTAATTATGTTATTTCCTACATAGAATTAGAGTGTCTGATATACTTATTAAAGCTGCAGTAGCCGAACCAGGCCAGTAGGAGGTCAGAGTTGCAGGAAAAGTTAACTAGATTCTAAGGGACCTTCTATAAACTTGTGACTGTCCAGGATCTGTCCCCAGTTGTGAAGGTTAAGTGTCTTATTTTTGCATCTGCTTCCCCCAGCATGGAAGATTGCTGATTTTTAAAAAATGCTTGCCCAGAGGGCTGGTGCCTGGAAGGCCAGTAGCCTGATCACTGAGGTGTGTGGGCACGTGGTGGTTTGGGTGGCCATGTCTTCCTGATCAGCAGGATCTCCTTGTGGGGGGAGGTAATTAGGCCCAGTGAAGGTCAGCACATCTGGAAGCCAGGCAGATGGGGGCTAGCTCTGAGTTAGACATTTTGGATGCACATTAGTACCAGGTGCTGCGTGCCAGCTGGGTCTGTCTTGCCACGGGCACCCTCCTGCTTGCATCCACTTGGTTGCTGTGCTGAGGGGCACGGCTGCCATCATGTCTAATGTTTCTGTCTCATTTCTAAAGGAAGCGTCCCTCAAATTCTCACTCACATGTTTTATAAAAGTTTAGTTTGTGTTTTTTAAACCCAAATGATGTAGGCAGGTTGATGAAAGCCATTTGTTTTCTTAACCTTATTATAAAAAAGGTGAGACCTTTGGTTGCCATCCTCCCCATTTCCTGCTCCCCAAAAGCAATTGTTTGAAACTGTTAAAACTGTTTCTTTCAGTCGTTGCCTCAGTGTCTCGGAACGACTGTTGCCTCTTGCTGATTTTTCACTTGTAGGCATTATTGATTTCTCACTGTGGAAGATGGGTAACACACCCCCCCCACACACACACCCCTTGGGCACAGTCACGGCATCATTTAGCTTACACCAGTATCAGGGATTGTTTTATTATACCCGAACGTGCCAAGCCATCGGGTACAGGGTCATTTTTCCTGCACAGCCTTTCGGCATCCCTGGAGTTAAAGCTTGTATTTCTTTTTCCTTTCGTTGATGCGTGTGCTCTGTGCTCATCACTGGCTGATCTCCTGGTCCCCCTCAGTATGGAAACCCCCTCAGGAGGCTCAAGCACATTAAGTCATCTGTCACTTGCATCCTGAAGCATGTCTCTGGGGCCTGCTGACCTGCCCCAGCTAGCAGCCTGCTGTTTGGTGGCTCCCAGCTCTGACTCACTTTTGTTTTTATTTCTCAAATAAGCGTTTTGAGATTTAATTCATACCATACCATTCAGCTGCTTTTACTTACATTTATGAGGTTGTACAACCATCATACACCAATTCCAGAACTTTCTTATCACCCCCGAAAGCAGTTGCAGGCCCATCAGCGGTGACTGTCCCAGCTCCTGGTGAGGGCCCTGTGCTGGGCGTTTCAGGAGGACAGGTCCTCATGATGCATGGCTTTGGGAGTCTTTCCAGGTGTGCCCATGTCACAGCAAGACCCAGCGCTGTATTCCTCTTCGTGGCTGAGTGGGATGCTGTGGACAGACCGCGCTTTGTCCATCCCTTCTTCATTTGGGGTCTTGCCACTTTTGGGGTTTTATGAAAAATCCTCCGGCTCACTGTGTGCTCATCCCCTGTAACTTGGATTCTGTGCTCTACTGTTACTGGATTTGTTTCCTCCTTGTCGTGGGAGGCAGAGTGTCTGTGGGCTGTGTCTGCATGTGATTCGAGGTGGGAGATGTTTTCTATTGATCCCTGGTTGGCCAAAGGGCTTTAGAACCTTAGGCTATTTCCAGTGTGAAGCCCTCTGTGACAGGTGACACTTGAGCTTTTGCTCTAGCTGCGTCTGTGCTGTGTCCCTGGTGCTGAGAAGGCGACTGTGGCCTCCCCCTGAGCCGCGTGCTCACTGAGCCCTTCAGTCTTGATGTGGTGCCTGGGGCGCGGGGTTTTTGAGATGTTTCGCCGTGCTCCTGCTCTGGGTCGTCTTCCCCCCTTTCTTGTGTTTCCTTTCTCATTTTCCACTTAGTTATCTGCTGTCTCTGTTTTCTGGAAGTTTCCTGCCCTCCTGCATTCTAGTCAGTGTTCCCTTGTGCTATCATGGTTTAGCTGCAGAAAAGAGCTTTTTAGTTCTCTGTTTTCACTTTTTGAAAACTGTTTCCCTGTTCTTGTCTTATGACGCCGTCTTCTCCCCTCTGTCTCTGTGAGCATTGCTGGTAATTTGCTTTTGAAGTCCCCCATCTCTCTCTAGAAGCTGCATTTGTTCATTCTGCTCCTGTCTTTGATCTGAGCTGCCGTCTCTCAAGGGTGGTGATTCCTGGCTCTGTGCTCTCATGTTGGGAGCAGTGCCCGAGGGTGGGTGGGCAGCTCCATGGAGACTGTGGGGTCTCAGCATGTGGTCAGGCTGTATCATCCTGAGGTCCATCTCCTCTCCTCTCTTGGCCACTTTAGGCTCACAGGGGACCCTCTCCTGTTGCTCCCTGCAGCTGCGTGTTGGCTGCTCGCTGTGGGAGGGAGTGGGTGGAGAGGGGCAGAGTGGGAGAAGCCCAGGCGCAGGGTGTCGCTTCTCTTGCTGTTCTAAGCTGCCTGGCCCTCAGCTCAGCCCGTGCTGCTGTGTTACATATGTCACAAGCCCAGGCTGCTCTGCCGTCTGCCTGTCACTCAGGCCTGTGGCCCCTCATTTTTGGTTTCTGGCCCATCTTTCACTCCCCTTTCCCAGAGTGTGCGTGAGCACTTTGTGATTCTTTCATGAGTCCTTCCATCTTAATAGGTTGAATTTGGGTGTTGTCCACTTCTACCTGGGAGTGGAACTCTCTTACCTCACTCTCGGCTTCTGTAATTCAGTCGTTTCCTCTGTAGTTCTCTTTTTCCTTAAGGGTAAGTTTAAAAATTTAAATTGATATCTTAATGGGATCTTGAGAGAATGTGGGTACAAGTTAATGAGTTCCAGCTCTGGTCTTTCACTAGAAGTCTTTTACATTTTTTTTTTTTCTGTAAATAACTATTTCAAGCTATAGGTTGTCCCCGGGTCACTGCAGCAGGGGCTGCAGCGGCAGTCCCCTGGCACGGGACCGGCATCGCGCAGGCATTCTGTTGCTGGGACGCCACTGGCACAGCAGGCCCAGCCAGCTGTCCTGGTGGAGTTGTAGTCATTGGGTGGCTGGGCACGGCCACCGATCACGTCAGGACTCCAGTGTTGCTCGGCCTTCCTCATGTTCGCTCCCTCCTGGAGGTCACGGGGGTGGGCCTTAGATCCTCACCATTGTGGTTGCCAGGGCATCAGGAGAACTGTCATGGGGAGCACACGGGAAACAGCCTCATGCTGAGGCTCAGGCTGAGCCTTATTCTTGGGGGACACCCCTGCCGGAGGAGCTCCTTCCGGCCCTGGTTGTCCCACTTTCCTGGGAACCACGTGGCTGCAGTTCCCAGTCCTCCTTTACCTGCTCTTTGGAAAAAGCCCATACACATGGATGTGCACCTGGTTGTGGGTCCTGTGCCCTGCCCTGGGAGGCATCTCCCTGTGGCATGGCCTCGTGGTCACTCATGCATTGCCAGTAGAGCATTCACAGAAGCTGCCACCCTCGGAGGGCTCGCAGAAGCCAATTCTTGGTCTTGCATGTCACCAGAACCCCATTACCGTCCTACGTTGGATTGGAGGCAGGCACTACCTTGTGGTATAATGTTGTTGAAAAAGAAATTTGGCCAACGTAAAAGATCCAAGTGCAGGCCCCTGTGTTGTTGGGGCAGTGATGGCTTCCATGGGATGGAAGAGTGATGAGGTTGTCCCAGACTCCTGTGCGTCTCTCCTGACAGTTCTGAAGTGAAGTTTATCCTCACTTTACTGTTATAGAATACTTTCGTGAGAACACTGTGGTGTGCAAGTATTTAGTAAGTGTGTGTGTGCATACACGTCTTGTGAATTCCTCGAATTCGGCCACATATTAAAGGATCCATGCACCTGCAATATAGAGTGTATTTAGGATTTGAAGGATGATTTAGTGTTATAAATTCCTCTCTCTGGAGAAGCCATTTGGGAAGGAAGTTTTTGTTTTTGTGTTTTTAACTGGGAAAGTAACTTCTGATTAGTGGTAATATTCTCATGGACTGTCTTTCTTTTCCTAAAGTTGTGCCAAATCTTTGGAACGTTGATGGCGAAGTTACAGTCCCTGAACAGAAGCCAGGAGAGGTTGCTGAAGAGCTCGCAAGCTCTTATGAAAGGAAGCTCATTGAGGTAAGGTTGCCTGGGAGGAGGCTGCACGTCTATTTTGGATCTCTGCTCTGGGAACCTCTGGGGACAAGGCCTAGTCGGCTAAAATGAAGCCACTAGCAAGACGACCAATCAAGCCCCGCCCCCTCAACAGAACAAAACAGATAAAACCGGTATAGACAAAGGAAAGTGGAGTTGATTCTTTGAAAAATGTCACTTAATTGGAAACATCTGGCACTTATGGTAAGGAAATGAGGGAAAGCGCACATATGTACCATTAGAAGTTAAATAAATGAAACTCAGATTTGGAGGATAAAGGCAGGAGAGAACACTGCATTCAGGCTTGTGCTGCTGAGCTGGAAATGTGGGTGAGCTGGGCTGTGTCCTGGAATGGCATTCGATGCCAAATTCAACTGAAGGTGAGGCCCACTGCCCGAAAGAGCCAAAAAGCTGTGCTTGAAAGTTGAAAAAGCAATCAAAGAACGGCTTCCCTGGTGATGTTGAGCCTCCACGGCTTCATGGCGATTTCCAGGAACACTTTCAGGGCACCCACAGAGAGCCTTCTGCTGTTTGCATTTCCTCGCAGCGTTCTGTACATGCATGTGTGTGTCTCGGTTCCAGGGTATATCACTCTTCTATTAAAAACTGACAAAGCATAAAAAAACTATGCATTTGTTTCATTTAGGTAAGGATGTACAAAGATTCTAGAAAGAGATTCCTCAAATTCAGCCACTTATTAAAGGATCAATGCTCTTACAAAATAGTGTATTTAGGATTTGAAGGATGGTTTGGCGTTAGAAATTCATCCATGTAAGTCATCTTACCAAGAAGTTAAAGAAGAAAAACCAGATATTGGGCTGGGGTTGTGGCTTAGTGGTAGAGCGCTTGCCTACCATGTGTGATACTGGGTTTGATCCTTAGCACCGTATAAAAATATAAATCAAATAGTTATGTCCGTCTACAACTAAAAATATTAAAAAGAATTGATTTGGATAGGTGATGAAATTTGACAGTGTTCATCGTCCATACCTGAAGAAAGTGATCTTGATGAATACGGACTGAAGTCTTTAGGCACGGTAGCATTTTATCATGAACCATCCACTGTCAGCACAATCATTGGTGAAGCTTGGGACCAAGGTTTTTATTATTTGTGTGTGTATGATGTTGTGGTACTCAGCTGGGGGTAGTATTACAGGTTGTGTCTGTAGATTCATGTCCACATGGAGGTCTATAAGGAGACTTCCAGTACTTTCTAAGACTTCTCCAGTGAGTTAATTTTATAACTAGAAAAAGACCTACTAATTGTTAATGGGAACATGCTGGAGTTGGGGTTATGGGGGTGGGTCTGGAAGCGGATGCCTTAAGCTCATTCTCAGTTTGATCTCCTATTTTTATGCCATGCTTTCTGTGGTTCTTAAAACTACCCCTAAACAAAGGGGGCAGCTTAAGCAGCAACCTGAGTTCCAACTCGGGTGAGCTCAAGGGAAGGTGAGCTGTGACTGGGGAGCGTGTCCAGCCCTGCATGGCCTCTCTTCCCCCGTCACAAGCCCCTCTGTGAAGACTGATTCAGTGGGGCGTGAGACTTGGTGTTGGCTGATGGCAGTGGCAGTGTTGAGCTGCCAGATGGGGGACTGGGGGCTCGGGTCAAGCTTTCTCTGACCAGCCTGTGACTCCCCCTGGGAGCAGCCAGCTATGTGCCTGAAGCAGAGACATCCTCACAGGGCACGTCCTGCCCAGACTGTGTCTCATTCTTCCTTGGTTGCATAGCCAGTTTCTGCCAGTGTTCTTCCATCTGTGATGAGCTGTAGTCTTTCATGATGCCAAGGCACTGGCTGAGCCCTCAGCTCACCTGGATGGAGCCCTTGTCGCCGTGCTTGGGGCTGTTGCCCTGCCACCTTGTTCTTGGGTTGATGTCCACCCGCTGTGGGAGTGGAGCAGTGAGCGCCTGTGAGAGGCTGACGCAGGCTCTTCCACTTCAAAGGGCGGAAGAAGAGGCCATGCTTCGTGTCAGATAACACGGCTGTAGGGACACCCAAACCTGCGATTCACCCACTGTGAAGGGAGCTCCTGAGCATTTCACTTCTGTGTTCATCTTAGGAATCAAGAAAACCGCTGCCCCCACTGCCCATTCACACAGCACCTTTGTTCTTGGTGGCATTGAGCCCAGGGTCAGGGCAGCTCAGAACCTAACGTTAGCACCACAGAAACATCTGTCACTAGTGGGTGACCGTCAACTGCCAATGACCGGAGGTGAAAAACTTTTTTCTTCTTGTTCTGGGGCTGGGAATGTGGCTCAGTGGCAGAGGGTTGCCTGGCATGTGCGAGGCCCCAGCACAGCAGAAACAAAGAGAGCTCCTCCCTCCTTGGACTGCAGTGACGGTGCCCAGGGTTTGTTTTGTAAACTCCCTGGCTCTGATGTAAGGCATCAGAAGAGGTGGATTGGTTTTCACTAAGGGGTTTGAAGAGAAAGCCCTTGGATCCTCAAGGACAGATGCAACACCAGCTTCTTTGCATCTTTTAAGTGCAATTTCTTTGGTTTAGATTCATTTCTGGAGATTCTTGCATTCTATTCTAGCAGTTGGCTTCAATAAGAATGTCAGATATTGGAGGCATTTGGACTTTGATTCTACCTAGTGGCCTGCAGGGCACACACTGTCCCTTGTGGTACTGAGTTCAGGTTGCCACTTTCTCCCATGAGTCCCTGGGTAGGCCACCCAGGATATTAAGCCCCAATCAGCCAATAAAAGCTGCTAGTGGGTTGCTTTGGGGATTGAGCACAAAGATCCAGGTTATGACCTGGAGCAGACAGGAAGTGCCCTTGTGCCCGTTTCTCCCTTGGTTCCTATGTCCTTTTGGGGGCTACCTTTTCTCAGTTGCCTTGTTGAGTCAGAAAATCCAAGCACTCTGCCCTCCCTTGGCTCAGGATGGGCGTTTGGTCTGAAGTTGGGCAGCTGGGATTCAATTCCTGAGTCACAGGAATGCAAAGGTGCTGGGGAGGCCATCTGTTCGGCCAAAAGCCACATGAAGCATTGTTCCACACACTGATTACAGTGCACCTGCTGAGGCTCCCCTGGTATCCCTGGGTTGCACTTGCCACAGCTGTTCTGGGTCCAGTTTCTTCTGAGCCAGATGCTCCCACTTTCCCCACTGTTTACAGTCAGTGTTCTCTGACTTTAGCTTAGAATCTGTTTCTGTTGCTTGCCACTGAAGTGTCCCAACTTATAGGATGTAAGATAGATATGTGTTACTTCCCTTCTTATCCTCCTCCACACCCTGCCCACTGGAGTTCAGTTTTCCTCTGTGCTGCCCTCTGACTGCCCTGAGTCTTGCTTGGCATTCCGCACCCCCGTTTGCTCTCTCTGCCACCCTGTGCCCCAGCACTGCCTGTCCAGCCTCTGCAAACGGAACTTTGCTTCTGTCCATATGGCAGGGCTCAGCCAGCTGTGGACTGGTTTCTCAGGTTCTGGGATACTCGTCACTTACTGGATGAGTGTAGTTAGTCCCAAGGTTTTTGCTCATTGGTGAAATAAATGGTATATTAGCAGTATTTATTCTCATTATAATGACAGGTTTGCTATTTATGGATAAGTAAGCTTAAGCATCAAGCTGGCAAGAAGTAAACCCGTAATGACATGCTGCAGAGAGCTGTGGATGTGATCATCATTTTAATAAAACGCAAAAGTTCCCGAATCAATTGGGACCTTGGACATGGAAACATCGCAGTGTTGGCTTACACATTGTCTCCTATGGGTCCCGATAGGAGATGTAACTGGGAGTCTTTTTTTTTTTTTTTTTTTTTTTACGTAAAAGATGCATGGATTTAAAAATAAAAAGTCACACCCAAAAGTTACAGTAATTCTTCATTAACGTTGACTATCTGGTGAGTGTTCAAGTTTCCAGTTCAAATCATGTTTGAATAAGAAGCTACACGGCACCTGGTGGATGAATTTCTGTCTTTTGATCTACAGGTTTCCCACCTCTATCTCCCCTTCTCTTTCTGTTTTACTTGTAATTTATTAGTTTGAAAAACTGGGTCATTAATCCTGGAGAATTGCTCCCACTGGTGCTTTCTGAGGTCTGTTTTACACTTGGGACCCTGTAACCTGTTAGGGTTTGGTGACATTCATTTAATGACAGCAACTACAAATGCCAATGATAATGATGTTGATAGTGACCCTCTATTTATGCTGACTGCTATTTCCAGGCACTGTGTTAATTGCATTACATAGACTGTCTAATGTTTGCTGCATCATTATGGATGAGGAAACTGGGGCTTGGCAGTGATAAGTCGCTGGTCTGTGTTCAGGAGGCTGCCCTGCCGGTGTTGAACCAGGACTTGACCTTGGCTGACTCCACACTTGGTGTTCTTTCTGTTACCCTCTGTGGCCTTCCCTGTACCTGCTAGGAACAGGAGCTGGGACTTGCTTGTCGGCTGGCTAAGGGAGTTAGGACAGTGAAAGCGGTGGCAAGCCTGCGAGCTCGTAGCTTGTCAAGCCCACAGGGATAATTGAAGGGGCAAGGAGAAAAATGGCAGCTGGCAGACGGTTCCCAATGTGAGCACGTATCGGCATAAACAAACCTGTATGCTCTTTTAGATGCCAGTCCCATCAGACACCTCTTGTCCTCTGCCTGTTCCTGAGCATTGGTGTGACCTGTCCAGGGCAGCAGAAGGGCCAGAGCTTGCTTTTGGAGGCCCTTGGTTCTTTCCTCCTCTCCTGGCCTTCCAGTTACCCATCATGTTGGGGCAGAGCATGCACAGCTGCAGGTCACAACTGGGCCTCTCTGCAGGCCCCCTGCTCCCAGAGCATTTGTCCTTGCTGATCTTGTGGTTTCTTTTCCAGGAGATCTTTGGGCATCTCATTCCCACTACTTCACGGCATGGTCTCCGTCCTCAGTGGGCGATGGTGCCCAGGCTCAGCTCCATGCCATTTGCTCTGCCTGGTGTGTGCTGTGGAGCCTCTGTTTCCCTCGAGGCCTCACTGATGGGAGGGCCTAGAGTGGGGTCTGCAGCACTGGGAACGCAC